GCCACGGGGCGGACCTTGAATACATTATCACCCTGTTTGCACATGGTACGTGCGTGGAACCGGGCCGTCGAATCGGAGTGCGCCGCGATCGACCCTGAACAATGGGACCGCGCTGTGTCTTTGTGCCGTTTGCGCTGCGCAAACGTCCATCATCTTTTTTATCTTTCGATAAATTCTTCTTCCATCCTCTTCCAATACATTACTACCTTTCTCCCTCAGCTTTTCAATTTTCAATTTTCATCGAACGATATCAAATTCTCCTCCTTGTTCAAACTTGTCGAGGAAACAACTCCTCTCCTCTTTCGCCTTCTTCGAATCCTTCTTTTTCCCTCCCCGATGGATTCGAGAAAAGAGAAATTCCTCCGTTCGATGGCCTAGATTCTTCTCGGGGTGCCTCGAAGAATAAAAAGAACGAGGCGGCGAGCGAGGAGAGCAGCCTTGACATTCCTCGCGACTATTATTCGCGCGAATCGGCGCAAAAAAGCCTCTCTCTCTCTTTCTCTAATGATTCAATTCGAAGCAGGGGTTGATTAGGAAGAAAGAAAGAGAGAGAGAGATTTGCACGCGCGTTACGTCGCGTTGCGATGATGAATCCCGAAGGCTGGTCTTGTCCGCGAAAGGAAAAGGCTCGCGATGGAAATTGAGACATTTTCCTACGCCTCTGCCTTTTCTTCTTGCCCCTCGAAGAACCTTAGAATTCTTAATGAACGTTGTCACGCTTTGAGTAGCGAGCGTTCCGTCTTCCCCACGATTCCGGTTTTTCACTCTCGGTAATTTACGAGATACGCATCTGCCAACCGACGTAACTTTCCTTCCAAGACACTTGCACGGTTAATGGCGGCTCTCCATCAACCGCCGTTCAAATTTCAAGAAAACGAATCTCTACGGAAAACGATTTCGCGCTCGAAATTAATTAGAAACCGCGTTGCTGCGAGCGATTTTTCGACCTCGAGAGGAGGAAACGGGACGCGACGCAACGAGGTGGAGGAAACGGAAAAAAAATACTTAAAAACACGATCGAAGGGTTGCGTGAGACGCGAAATAAAGAATCGAAAGAGCCGTCGTTTCCTCCTAAATCATCCCCTCCAACGATGATCGCCGCAACAGATCACCACCATCCTTGGAGTACAAGCAAAAGAAGAAGCAACACCGCGACGGATCCAGCAGGCCAGACACTGGTCGAAGAAAAATTGAGTGGAAACAGGCCACTGGGCGTTCCGATCCCGGGGGAATCGATCAACCAAGGTCAACGTCCACGCGGAGCGACGTGGAACACGGCTCGATCCACGAATTCTGGCAACGAATTGTCGAATCGAGGGGAAAGAGCGTAATAACGGAGAGGAGGGGGAGAGCGTGTGTGTGTGAGAGAGGGAGAGAAAGAGAGAGAGCACCACTCGACATAGCTCGCCGGTGATAGAGGCGCGGAAAACAAAAAAGCAGGCGACGTAACGCGTTCGTTCGTCAAACACTTGAATGTAATGTTGCCAGGCCTGGACTCGTGGCTTTTCAAGTGTCTGCTGGAATACCGGTAGATTATTCAAATTCGCCAGCGACTTAAGCCTTAAAATAAGCGTTGCTTATCTCTCGGCCACGTTTTCTCGAGTGGGCCCCTCCACCCGACTACCGGGGATAACTGCGTTTCCTCACCACGTGTAATTGTTTTCTGTAATTTTGTTTCTTTTTCTTTTCTTTTCTTCACCAACTATCCTTACGTAGTATCTAACAGTGTATCTGTAACGACTATTCACGATATACGACCATATAATAGGAACGTTTTATCTTTATCATATTATAGAATATCATATTATAGAATTACTTTGAATCGAATCGTTGGGTTCTTAAAAAGAAAAAGAGAAGAAAAAGCGGACGAGAAAAAGGATTTATCGACGAATGAATAGGAGGAGAGATCGGGGAGCGAAAAGACGATGACCGTTGGAGCATTTCTAAACTCGCTGTACCGGCGCGTCGCGGTTCAAGGCATAATCGTATCGCTAAACCGCTGACACCAATCATCTCTCCATTACCCCGGCCAGTTCGAACGGTATTCGAAGCAGTCCCGAGAGGCGACGAGCGTCTCTCGGACACCGTGGCCGAGGAGAAGGAATAGAAGGCACGTAGACGAGACGGCAAGTGCAACAATCGGTTTCTGCTCACCTTTCCACTTGGAAATGCATTCACGTGTGCGCACGAGGTTAGACGAGGCCGCGCTCTTTCTCTCTTTCTCTCTTTCTCTCTCTCTCTCTCTCTCTTTCTCTCGTCGAGCGAAGAACCAGCGGCGGGTTCCCCGCGAGGAATGGGACGAGGAACGAAGGCGAAGCCGGTGCTGGTGCTACCGGGTTAGAAGGAGGGCGAGAGTGTGTTCATAAGATATGGTGTGAAACACGAGGAGGCCGAGATTAAAGAATGAAAAACATAGAATTCTGAGAACTGGTTGAAGTCATAATATTCGTAATTTCAAGCTGCGCCTTGTGGCGACCGTCTTCTGCGTCGTTGAAATTAATGTGAGCGGAAATAAAATTCCTCTCCGCCTCGCCCCTTTCGCAGCAGTCCCTTCCACGTACACGCGCGCGCGCGCGCGCCTTCTCTGCCTAACGGCTGTTCCCTCCTCCTCCTCCTCCTCCTCCGCTTCCCGCTTCCCTCGCGCGACAGAGAGCGAGAGCGACAAGTGGAGGAGCAACGTTTAAACGGTTCGAGCGGCGTGCAAATAAGTTCGCAGCGCCGCCGCCACACCGGGAGAGAGAACGATGTTTGCCTCCAATATTTGGATTTCGACGATGTCAAAAGAATTACTGACATCGAGCCGCGCGCGCCGCCAACGAGCAGAGATTCCTTCGTTCCTTCCATCGTTTTCCCTCTCGCG